CAACGATCTCCGACGACAGACGGATTTAATTCCTAGTTGTATATACTTAAGTGGTAGAGCAGCGGCGTTTTTAGCCGAAGGTCATGGGTTCGAATCCCGCTCATGACGCTGACTTTTTTATCTCAACCTTCCATAACGATTAATTAATTGAAAGTTGTATACTTTTATTTATATGTTTCAAGATGTGCTCAAAATTGTAAAATAAAGTATTTCTATTTATCTATCTATCTAAAAGGTTAATTTCATGTAAAATATGGCAAAGTATAAAGGACAAAATGGTTAATTTAATGTTAAAAAGGATTACTTTGAAGTTAAATGTGTTAATTTGAAATTTAAAAAATGGTTGATTGGAAGTTGAAAAGGGTTAATTTGGAGTTACAAATTATAGGGAAAAAACGGTTAAGATGAAATTAAAAAATTGTTACTTGGATGTAAAAATGGTAAAAGTCAAAGTGAAAAATGGTTAAGTTGAAGTTAAAAATGTTAATTTTATCGAACAAAGCGGTTAAGTTGAAATTAAAAATTGGTTAACTTGATGTTAAATGTTTTAATTTGAAATTGAAAACTGGTTAATTTGAAGTTAAAACGAGTTAATTGGACAAAAGGGTAATTTTATAGAAAATAGTTATGTTGAAATTAAAAAATGGTTCATTGGGTGTTAAAAAGGGTTAATTTCTAGTTAAAGTGTTAATTTGATGCGAAAAGGGATAAATTCAAAATTAAAAAGGGTTCACTCGACAGGAAAATTTTTAACTAATACCTCTTATAAAACAATCAACTTATGTAAAAAAAATACAACATCATTAACACTTTTGTTTTGGAATAATTAATTTTAATGCAGCAATTTGTAATAACATCTGTAAAATGGTCTTATGTTGAACATATAGTCAAACATATTTCAGCTTTGCTTCTTCTTCAGTGAGGGATCGTCTATCACGGTGCTCGTCGGTTAGCGGTGTTCCCTTGTTCCCTTGGGGGTAATTATTTCTTTTCTTGTTTCAAAATTGCCGGAGTCACCAGCAGTCATGAGAATAGCCTAGTCTATAGACGTCCTTCATCACATTCTTTACTAGGAGAGCGACTAAATTTAGCATGTCGCTTGAGCTCTAAACTAGTCATCAGAAGGTTTCTTGAAAATCGTCTAGGTTCTAGGCGTCCTTCATCATCTTCTCTACAACTGGAGAGCGACTAAANTCCACATCCAAAATGTAATTGTAATATGTAAACAATGTTTGTAAATCCCAGGCCCTGAAGATGATCTCAATAAAGATCGAAACGTTGGCACGACAAAGAAAATGCTTTTCTGAAACCTACATCACACCAGACCGCATCTCAAGATTTCTAAATAATTATAATTAAATGATTTTCTTTTGGCGAATTTTCTTTAAAACTATCATAATTAATTATTTTTTTACACTCATGAAGTTCTGACTTCTTTTATCTTTGTGTGTATATCGCCGTCTAGACGATAAGAAAAATTGTTTTGCTGTGTACACAAAGTCTACTTATCTAAACTTCCTTGCTTGATTAGTAGTTCCCTGATAGATTTACGGAAATATATTCGCTCCATATCTATTAGCGATTTACGTCTGATACATAGTATTAAACGACGTATTTTCAAAACTGACTCAAGATGAAAATGACGTTGAGAGAGAACCTTGAGGGATGAAATCAGAGTGTACTTCTTTTGAAACTGAAAAAATGTCTGAACTTCTTGAAGGAACATGCCATGAAAAAACAGCCAATGCACTCAGTGTGAGGGGGTTCGAGGGATAGACATATCCAGATATGGCTCGAGCAATGTTGGGATGGAACGAGAGCTTGTTGTGAATCTTTTAGAATCGGATCAGTACGTTGAAGAAAGGAACGTTGAGGTGGGTGATAGTTAGATTAGTTACGTCATAATGAGCTTTGCCGATTTGTCTGAGGACTTTTAATTGGAAGTTGGACGGGTTTGTATAACCCATAGTTCGACCCCGTATAACCAAAGTAGTTGCAGTAAAGTCCAAGTCTTACTAGTTGTCCAAGTTTTCTATTAAGCTGTTGTCTATATATATAGTTAAGTTTCAGTTTCGGTTCAGTTTGGTCTGTCAGAAACGAGTTAACCATTATTGTACATCGAGAAGAGTAGTGGCACTAAAACTCATCCGAGACTTACTCCTCTGTTTTACTTTTTAAACAAATATTTTTTACCCGATGAAAAACCTCATAAATATTATTGGCTGTAGGCCTTTTGTTGTAAAATCATTAATCTAAGTTTAAATGATGGTCCAAGTTTAGATGTACAATTTGATCGGTACTGATCATTTTTTGGGTGTACCGGATTTGGTTATATTTCACCAGAAACATCCTTTACGGTTTTAACGGACAACAAAGGAAATTAAAAGAAATCGAATAAATATGTTATACAGATATATTCCGTACAAGCTCAACATATGAGCAGTGAAATTTATTAGTTATACCTAACGTCATAAGGTCAGAGAGCAGACCTAAAACTATTAGAAAAATCTTACATCCAAAATCTACAAAACCATGAAAAACAGAACAACCTGGGTCTATCATGGCAGAACACAAAGGAATTCTGGGCAAGGAACAATAAACTGGCCAGGGGAGGTCAAGACCATCTATAGACCAAAAAATCAAACTTCCATGATGGGTGCTTCAACAGATTCTAGAGCTAAAAAAGGCAAAGGACAGCTTGATCCAGCAAAGCAAAATTTATATTTAATTTGCGCTGAACCTTTCCCTGGCATTAAGACATCAGAACTATTGACGAAATCATCAATCCATGTAGTATACCAATTAGACGAAAATACTGTGCAATACAGTTCTTGTACTTTTATTTTAAAAAAGATTCAACGGTTTATAATGAAATAATGATCCAATTGGGTGTTTAATTCTCACCCGTTTAATAGTGCTAACTCGTTTACAAAACACCATTAACGAGATCATCCCGCCCCAGGGAGATGACATCTGGGTGGAACATCTGTTTTTCGAATTAGACTCCACTTCATTAAAGAGGACCGCACATTAATTGCCGGCGATCAAACTATTAATTGAAATAGTGAAGCATCTGCCAGCCCGAAATCAATTTATGGTTTACCTAACCCGCATACCACGTGGGAACTGGAGGACGGTGTTTGATTCTCAACCTTGGAAAAATCAATAAAAGGGGAGGACGTTACATCGGTTTAATAATAGAATATTGGACTGATTATTATGTAGAGAAGAGTATTTGCAAATGATCATGATCGTTATGAATATAAAAAAAAGTCAATGATTTATTGTAATTTAAGGTCTTTCAAATTCATCCAAGAAAAATTAGCTTAATTTTGGTTAGCTACGAGCAAGCTTGACCAAAATTAATAAAATGTTCTTGTTGTTTAATGTTTTATAATTTTGCACAATGCAACTCCGGACATATTTTGACTCATCTCACATAAAGTTAAAGTTGGCTGCCGGACTCAGAGATGATTCTCTAGAGTCCGAAGTTCATTTCGATTGTTGGATTTATTCCTAGGACTCCTCACGCGCACTAGAAATAATTGGCTTTACTTATTTACTCTTCGGCTTTAAGTCCATTTAGGAACTTGTACTCCTTTAGCATAACCCTGATGCCCTCATAGGCCTAGCATCTTGCCAGATCATTAAATGGATCCATCCAAAGTTTGGAACAATACTCCAGGCATGATGCATGCAGAGATCCATAGAAAAGCAACCGAATCAAGATTCTGGTCGGATTCCTGGCACTGCTGCCTAAGAAGACACCGGATTGGAGTACAATCCACATAGTGCACATACTGCCAGGAAGAGGAGGAGACCGCTGAACACTTTTTATGTGTTTGTGTCTTTGTAGGTGCTGATTCTTGCAACTGGGAGAAGAAAAAAGATAAAAAGATTCCCAGTGANCAAAGAAGACTGCTGCCTCTTTTATCATTTTTGCGAAGTCTTTAAAAGCCATATTGAGCGAGTTGTTTTGCCCGGATTGTTAACCACTCATACGCCCTGCACGGTGCTTCACCAACACCCATTCTATACAGATGAGCCAACCTTCGCTATTTCATTTCGAGAATAACCCTCAGAATCTTCCTCAGCAGTTCAGCCTCATTTCTTCGCAGCAGTCATGATCCAGCCTTGAAGATGGTTGAAATTGTGAGCCAAATTTAAAAATATGGCTCATGGAGGATGATCTGAAGAGCTTCCTAACCAACGGAAGAAATCGGCAGTAAATAAAATAACGAGCTAGTTTTTAACAGGATTCTTGGCGTTGACGTCAAATCCAACTTAATCAGTGTTTGAACTAAAAAACAAATTGTTTTTCACAAATTCATTTGTAAAGGAGCAATGTACATTTATCTACCGACGATCCATGAAGTAGACTCGTAGTAAAAACAATGAATATTCAAAGTTAGTAATGTTTGCAAATTTACTTTTACAAAAATTCGACTAGTCAAAAACAAACATCCGCTTAAATTTTACTGATAATTTTTTTAGAGTTTTTAGAGAATAGATTTTCTCCTTTTGCGAATCCGTATCTCGCCGGAACAGATTTAAGGCCGGGCGGAAGTTCAAGTCCGTTAACTCTTTCGACAAGGAAGTAGTACAACTTCAGATATAACTTCCTGTTTGTACTTAATTCCGAAGTTAAGAAGTCCTAAAAGTTCTGGGTTTTTCAAAAGTCATTGGGGAAATGTTTTTGCATATATTTTTTGTTATTAAAGTTATTAAGTAACTTGTTAGTTCAAGATTAGTGCATACATAAATTTTATTGAATTTGGGATAACCTTGTGAATTATGATTACAAAGAAATGTCCGATATTTCTTTTCAGAGCTTTACAGCGTTCATGCTTTGAAGTGTGCTTAAGGCAATACGTATCTCAGAATTTCTTTTGTAGATTTGATGTTATTGTCATAATAAAGCCCATTTCTTCTTTTGCTATACCCCTGATAAATTCGGGTTTTTTATGTATTTATTTTTTTAAGAAGTTTAATCGTTTCAGTGGCGAGGAGGAGGAGGAAGGAAGGACGGCCGAGACGACAGAGGACGACCTTTTCCAGCGAGCAGACCCTCAGGCTGGAAATAGAGTTCCACAGGTCCGAGTACATCTCGAGAAGCAGGAGATTCGAGCTGGCCGAGGCTCTCAGGCTGACGGAGACGCAAATCAAGATCTGGTTCCAGAATAGAAGGGCGAAGGACAAAAGGATAGAGAAAGCTCATATCGACCAACAATACAGGTGAGATTTACCTGATGAAGGCGATATGCCTGTCTGATGCGTTTTGGTATTTCGTCATGATTAGATAAACTCTGAGGAAACGTGAAGGAACGACCAAAATGATTAAAATTTATTCAAGAACCAATTTGGATCTTATGATCTAATTTGGTGTAGAATTTCCTTGAAACCATGTAGTGGCATCAGTTTACTCATACCATCGAACAACACCCTAATGTTTGAAGTGGACCCCATTTCCCCGGGAAAAAAATATTTAGTCCCACGGTTAATTTCCGTAAATCATTTTAGATTGATACGTGCTAGGAAGGTGGGAGGGACGTGATCAGGGCAGATGTGTAACTAATTGAGCGAGAGTGAGTCTGCCTAACCTTCCCTAATACGCGGAACACAATGGTTGCAACTTATTCGTCATGCGTTGCCCACAAATAAGCAATTAGATCGGCCGGAATCATCCGATGTTTACACACGGTTTACTGATTTACAATAACCAGTGGATTAATATAATAAGTTAGAGAATTTCCAGTTCCATATCCAGCCACGGGCTGTTGTGACTGGTTATAATTTTCTGTCCGGTAATATTAACGTTAACTTTCTACATGTTGGGTGTTAACGAAGGGTCAGCCTATTTTACAATTCTTGCTACACGTTATTTTCCTATTCCAGGGTTGTTTTATCTTCCAGTCTATATGCCTCCGCAGTCTGCAATATCCAGTCAGCAGACCTGCCATCTTAAACTTAACAGGTCCTAGGTTTAACAGTTCATAAGTTTCAGCAATGGTAAATGGACTTTATCGCAGGAACACAAGCCTATTGAACAGAGGACTTATTAACTCAATACATAGACTAAGTAATCCTAGCATACTGGGGGACTTGAAGTCCAATTGACATGTGTATCCCTTCAAGCATTGGTTTTTTCTCTTACAGGAGCAGGAATTTCATTCATATTCTTTTTCTTCTTCTTCCTGGCAATATGTATAGTTCCGAGTCTATACGTATGCCTCTAGAATCTGCAGTGTTCAGCAGTCCTCATACCATTTTAAGTCCTGATACATCCAACGCTTAGCAGTTCGTAAGTAATGGACTTGTTCGCCTCTGAGCTGGAATACAAGCCCATTGACCAGATGACTTATTAGCCCATTACAAAAACCAAGTAATCCTGTCGTACAAAAGAGCTTGACACTCAATTCACATGTGTGACCTTCAGGCATTGGTTTTTCCTTTTCTAGGAGCAGGAATTTAAGCCTTCATCCGCTTTTTCTTTTTCTTCCTGGCCATCTGTACAGCTCTGCAACACGTAAATTTCAGCAGTGGTCCTTTAATGGATTTATTCGCCGGAATAGAAGCTCATCGAACAGAGGACTTATTAACCAAATACGAGGACTAAGTAATCCTGACATACAGGAGGGCTTGACGTCCAATTCACGTGATTATCTTTCAGGCATTGATTTTTCCTCTCCCAGAAGCAGGAATTTAAGCCTTCATCCGTTCTTCTAATTCCTGGCCATATGTAGTAAAGATGCCTCTAGAATTTGCAGCGTCTAGTAAGCAATCATACCATTTTAGTCCTAAAACATCTAGTCTTGGTTGTTCGTAAGTTTTAGCAATGGTACTTTAATGAACCTTTTTCCTTTTGAGCTGAAATGCACGTCTTTTGAACGGACAACTTACAAACCCAATCCATAGTTTTAAAGTTCACCCCCTTCAGATCTTGGCTTGTGTTCCAGGAATAGGAATCTAAGCCTGCATCCAACGTTTCCTCTTCTTCTTGGAATAGCTCCCAGTGCCTATAGAATCAGCAGTGTCTGGTCAGCAGTCCTACCATTTTAGTCCTAATACATCTTAGGCTTGGTATTTCGTAAGTTTTGGCAATGGTCCTTAATGGCATTATGGCACAACATAATGGTCTCTGTCCTGGAATCACATTGAACCAAAGGACTTATTCTTGTCCAATCTATAGATTTAGTGATTCATGTTGTAGTGGCCACTTTTAGTTACCACGTTAGCGCTAGATGCCACTACCACATATGGAATGTTCTCGCCCACTACTCTGCGGCCAACCAGAGTTGAGCCCTTCAGAATATAAGCAGAGGCACTTCCCCAATAAACCAGACTCGTCAACCCGACGAGCTCTCACAAATCACTAATGGAACACCGTCGACGACAGCAAGGGTACTCACAGCATTAGCCTGATTCTCGCCTTCTAAACACAGCCGGCTTGGCTAAAAATGCCAACTGCTGCTCTCGGTTAATTGCTGCACTCGAGCCCTTTCAGCTTCTGCGGAGTCAACCGACTCACGGCCCCCGGACCTCAGCCAACGGTACATTCGGTGACAGACCACCACCATCGATCCATCTTCTCGGCGCTACGAAACAACACCGGCCCTTTTCAGGGCCACCAAAATTCCCAGTCACTAAACCTGAAGACTTGACAACCAATTCACATGTGCATCCTTCAGCCATTGCTTTTCCTCGTTTCGTCTTCTTCCTGGCAATATCTACTCCCAGTAACACATTCCTCTAGAACAGTGTCCAGTCTGATTCCAGTCCTATAATAGGTTCTCAATTTCTGGAAAGATGCTTACATGAACTTTTTCCCCTTTATCCTTGAAAACAATCCTATTGAACAGAGCACATATTAACTCAATATGGAGACTAAATAATTGTGTGTCCTTCAGGCTTTAGCTTTTCCACACACAGGAGTACGAAATTACCTTGCAATATCTGCACAGGCTTGTTTCTGCTGGGAGAGTCCATATGCATCAAGAATAAGTAGCGTTCAGTCACCACTCCTATCATTCTAGTCCTAACAAGTCCTAGATTTAGTAGGTTAGTAATGTTTCTCATATGGTTCTTTAACGAACTTTTCCGCCTCTGCCCTGGAATCACATTGAACCAAGGATTTATTTTTATCCCAATGCATAGACTAAGTAATTCCTCTCATACAGGAGGATTTGACGTCAGCCTCACATGTGTATCCTTCAGGGCAAGACTCCTCTTCCAGGAGTATCACAGCATCTCTTTCTGGCAATATCTGCACCGGCTTGTTTCTGCTAGTCGCGTCTATATGCCTCAAGAATGTGGACTGATGCCCAATCATCAGTCGTATCATTCTAGTCCTAACACATCCTAGTTTTAGTAGCTTAGTTAAATTTCTGCTACGGTGGTTCTGAACCTCGCAACCTGAATATCTGAACTTCGCTTCTCTCCTTGAATTACATAAATAAATTATATGTAATTCCTATCATACAGGAGAATTGAACGTCAAACCAATGTGTCTGTCATGCCTTGGCTTTTCCAGGAAAAGATAGTTCCTAATCATAGTAAGTTGTTTTTCAACGATCCGGATTTCGAGCCCTTAGCTCATCATCAGGATGAAGGATTTCTATAACCACGTCTCTCCCGGCCACGACCATGTCAAGAGACGTGGTTATAGAAATCCTTCATCCTGATGATCAGCTAAGGGCTCGAAATCGCTTTTCCTAGTCTATATGCCTCCCAAGTTAACAGGGTTTAGTTAGCAGTCCTCATACCATTCTAGACCTAACGCGTACTAAGTTTAGTACCTCGAAAGTTTCTGCGATTGTTCTTTAATGAATTTTCTTCGCCTCTGTCCTGAACGTATTAAATCAAAGATTTTTTCTTCCTAATAAAATCCTGTCTTTAGAAGGGTGTTGGGTGTCGCGGACGAAGGGCTTTCCAAAACTTTTTTCTATACTGTTATGAAATAAAAAATATGAGCTATGCCGGGATTCGAACCTTGAGCCCCTAGCACGGCAAAGACGAAATGGACGCTTAACCACTCATCCAAACAAAACAACACCACTAAATCCCAAAACCTTCAATATCTCCAATATATTATAATTATTTCTTTATATATTTAAATTATTGCGCTAGGCACAGATTGTCACTCAATTACTCATTAAAAATAGGAACAAATACAAATATAATAATCAGGGTCGAATTTTAGGAAAATAAGGCAGATCAATGCTTTTTAAAAAAAGATAGTTCCTACTCATAGTAAATTGTTTTCCAACGATACGGATTTCGAGCCCTTAGCTCATCATCAGGATGAAGGATTTCTATAACCACGTCTCTCGACATGGTCGCGGCCGTGAGAGACGTGGTTGTAGAAATCCTTCAACCTGATGATGACCTAAGGGCTCGAAATCCGTATCGTTGGAAAACAACTTACTATGATTAGGAACTATCTTTTTTAAAAAAGGATTAAACACCGCACTCACTCCATTATTTATCATTTCTAGAAGGCAGTTCTTCCTCAAACCATCTGGAAATAAATTGGACTTTAAAGCAATCATAATAATTCCCAAAATTAACAAATATTAACTTCAAGTAACAATATTGAAACTGTTATAAAAAATTATATGCGGTGTCGCTCAAATGACACGAACGACCCTATTTAAAATTTCACTTGATGCTTTTAATGTCAAATGCAAACTGATCAAGGCGAAACAATTTAATTCTAGATAAGGTTTAATGGGAGCATAACCACCTGCTGGGATTTGCCATGTGTTTGTGTAATTAAACCTTCAAAATGAATGGGCGCCCAGCACGGTCACATTAATAATAATCGGTGACACGATAACTCAGCCCTTTTCGAACACACATCCAATTAAGCGACACCACGAAACTGGCCGCGGCCACAAAAAAAAAAACGATGAATCGACTTGCAAATGATAAAATATACTAATAGCTGAAACAACTTGTGTTTAAGTTAAACTTGAAATAATTTTATGATAGATAAAATACCTCAGCCTTAAAAAAAAAGAAACAGAACGAATTGTATGTAATATTCAACATAAGATTTTTAAAAGGGAATGATCCTATTATTGTTGGTATTTTAAGGGAAAAGTATAGATATTAGTGAAATTCCTATGATCTGCGGGGTGATGAACATGTTATTTGATCGTTACTGATAATCATCACTCATCCGTTGCCAATGGTCTCTTCATGTCTTCCACTTTTGGCACTAGTCTTTGATGAAC